CCCCCTTGATAATAATAAAAGGCCGACGGTGTTGAGATATTATCATTAAACTGACGGGCGTCAGGTAATTCCGAGTTATTGAATTATTTTATTCTGTTCATCTGATTTATTTTTTTTTCATCTGAATTTGAACTTGAGTCTGTATCTTAATCAGTTCATGGGTGTACCTACCGCGCTAGGCCCGTCGGTGTCAGTTGTAGTCTTATGATGATCTTGTGTTTCCGTCTTGTGGAGGGAGAATTGGCGGCCACGTTCGGTTTTTATCATTTTGTCGTCTTGTGGGGAGTTGATAGGGTACAGAAATCACTTGTTAGAAAGCACGCCGAGTATCGTCTTTGCCCGAATAGAACGTATGGTAGCTGTCTGTATTTCGGGTAAGTGTCAATAACGACCGAATACTACGTTGTGTTCGGTATCAGACGGTAGTCAGATGAACCGACCAACAGTTGAGTGCGTCCTGATGACATCAAATTGAGCTTTTTTTTTGTGTGTTTTTTTTGTGTTTTTTGGGTTATTGCCGGAAAACAAACGATGAAAAAACGAGCATTGGTCGGCATCTCCGTGGGTGAATGCAGTTTTCCCGCGAGTTTATGTACGGGCTCTGTTCCACTCCAAAACACTCGAAATTTATCTCTGAAGCTAATGGTCCTGGTACACTCCAGATGTTTGATCAGTCGGAACGTATTTTGTCCATATTCAGTCCAGGTACATGTTCTAGTGGAGCGGTGCCCTTTTTTTTTTTTTTTTTTTTTTTTTTTGGAAGGACGACGAACACAAACCCAGATATGAATGTACGTAAATAAATGCGTAATTCAATAGGGTTCTGTTCTTTCTGTTTAATTAATGAGAAAAAGTCTCTGTCTGTCTGTCTGTCTGTCTGTCTGTTGGGTTGGTAAGCCGCGGGTATTTGTATCATTTTAGTTTCTTGGGGTCAACGGAGATTATAGACGGTAGAGACTGTCGAGGGCGCAATTTTCACGAGTTTGTGCGAGTCTTCTCTTTGTCAAAAAAACATAGTATACAAAATAGCAATGTGATTGTTATTTGTATATGCTTTGTCGAGCAAAATATATAACAGGATAAATGAATATCCTCACAAACCCAGATGAATGTACGTAAATAAATGCGTAATTCAATAGGATTCTGTTCTTTCTGTGTAATTAATGAGAAAAAGTCTCTGTCTGTCTGTCTGTCTGTCTGTTGGGTTGGTAAGCCGCGGATGCTCACGGACGATGCTCTTGGACGAGCTATAGACTATCGCCACGTGTCACACATCCCTCCTCTTATTGCTGCCCGCATTTTCCAACATACCTCCCCGAAACTACACGGGATTTGAACCCGGGACTTCTGGCGTGACTGACCAGCACTCTACCCCGTCTTCCCCCGAATACAACGCCCGGTTATTATCGCCGTATCTGGGCCGAAAGTTGTGCCAAATACAGCTATAATGACCGGGCGTTCTATTCGGGTGAAGACGGTAACCAACTGAGCGCTGGACGAGGTATATCATTGCCACTTGTCCGTCACAAGATTGGCGGCGCTCCTGTATCGTCGTTGTTGTACCCATACAGATCATTGCTAGTCAGGCGGCGGCGCTCTTGTAGCGTAGCGTAGTTGTTGCGACGATGACGATGAAGGGCCTCGCCTTACCACTTGCCACTCGCCAGCATTCTGAGAGCGGCGACGATGAAGGGCCTCGTCTTACCACTTGCCACTCGCCAGCATTCTGAGTGTGCTTGAACCTGGTGGTCGCCGCGATGCTTTTTTTTTTTTTTTTTTTCCCGGTGGAGTTCGAATTTAGGTCTGTATTTTTCGACAGTTGTGCGCGATAACTGTGTGACACGTTCGCACAATGTTGGCAAGTTGGTGCGACACATTCTCACAACAATGTTGGCGTTCGGCGAGAGGTGCTGCGAGGCCCAAGGTCGCCAGTCCAGTGGCGGCGCTTCTGTAAGGTAAGTTGAAATCGATGGGACAGTGAGTGAGGTCAGGAGGCGTTGTAAGAATTTGAGCAAGCAATAACTAGGAAAAAGAAAGAGAATAGCGAGACCAGAAGGGCGGCTCTTACAGAAATAGAAGAGGAACGGCACAAAGGAACATAAACGATTCTGAGTGACGAATCAGTAGAACAGCGAGAACGCAAGGGGACTTGGAGTAATAATACTACCGTCTTCCCCCGAACATAACGCACCCTTAAAATGAACGTATACAAGTTATATTTCCGGCCAGATACAGCCAAAATGAGGGTGCGTTGTGTTCGGGGGAATGCGGTAGATCAGCAACAGCAGAAACGAACCTGGTATAGGTAATAGCAACAGTACAAGGGAAGGTAGTAGAAGCCCTAATGTGGGTGATTTTTCTGCCCTAATTTTTTTGCGGAAAGAAGTATGGCGATTGTTTGATGAAACAATCTTGTTGGTCTGGTGGCACTAGCAAATGTTTCAAACGTGTACCCGTCTGGGGTATTTGAAATGTGTACCCTTCTGGGTTATGGACAGTGGAAGGATGGCGGGCGGATGCATCTTATTCTTTCTTCTCCCATAAATGACGACGGGGGTAAATTCAGAAGCCCCCATGTTATCCAAGGTGTCCTTGAACCGCTACTACCTTTCACAGGCAAACCCGAAACCTCCCAAGGAGGAGGCCGGGTGCCACTGGGCCAAAAAAAAGAAAAGAAAAGTCGCGTTGGCGCTTCAGCAAAGCTTGGCGCGCAGTTCTTTTTCGCCTCGGCAAAAGAGGCTCGGAGGTTGTGGTGGTTTCTGGGAGTGGGTCGATCAGTGTGAAATGATCTTCTGCACTGATGTCAACAGTGGGTCGATCAGTGTGAAATGATCTTCTGCACTGATGTCAAWAGTGGGTCGATCAGTGTGAAATGATCTTCTGCACTGATGTCAATAGTGGGTCGATCAGTGTGAAATGATCTTCTGCACTGATGTCAATAGTCGCTTAGAAAAAATGACGAAAGTGCCGTCAGCACGGTTTGAAGTCCCACACGTTCCTGTGTCAGAGGAGTGCACCTGGACGTTGAGGGGCCTATGTACATTTTTGATGATGGGATTCTCGGAATTTTGTTTTGCTATTGCGGCCACCTTATCTATCCATTGTGGCAGGCCTCTGGATGATATGGGACGGCAATTTGGCAATTTGCAAGCTCGAGGGTATAAGGGTTCTCAGGAACGGATGCTTGGGGTGCAAACTGCTGTCTCAATTATAGCTTAGAAAAGACGGGAAGTAAAATCTGACTTAGGTTAGGAAAAAATCAGAAGGGTATAGGAACACAAGAAAACCTAAAAATCAGAAGAGTATAGGAAAACAAGAAAACCTTTCAGGTGAACGGTAGACAAATGTAACTGTCGACGGAATGGTCATGCGTTCGAATTCTAATATGGAATGAAATTGTTGATACTTTTATGGTCAGGACCTATTCGCTTAAACCGCCAGTAGCTGGGAGAATTCGCTTAAACCGCCCGTTAGTACCTCTCCCAGCTACGCATACTGTAACCCAACGGTTCATCATGAATGAATTCAACCTTGCGCAGGCAGAGGCCTGGGCGTCCACCCCGCAACCAAGTTGTATACAGGGACAATTTCCGGAGGTACTGGTGGTCAATTAATAAAAAAATCTGTCAGCAGAGCTTGTGCATGTAGAAGCATCGAGGCATTCGCTTAAACCGCCAGTAGCTGGGAGAATTCGCTTAAACCGCCCGCCAGTACCTCTCCCAGCTACGAATACTGTAACCCAACGGTTCATCACGAATGAATTTAACCTTGCGCAGGCAGAGGCCTGGGCGTCCACCCCGCAACGAAGTTGTATACAGGGACAATTTCCGGAGGTACTGGTGGTCAATTAGAAAAAGAATCTGGCAGCAGAGCTTGTGCATGTAAAAGCATCGAGACCTGGTTTGTAGTGCTGAGCTTCTTGCATTTTGCTCCCTGTCTGCGTATGTGTGTGTCTGTGTGTGGTGTCTTGTCGGTCTGGTTTCCTTTCAGCCTGTCGGGTTCGCAACATTCGTGGACCAGCCTTCGGCCTTGTCAGCAAGGGACGCTCTCAATGTACGTAAACAGCCACAGAATTCCTATCTCCATTCTATTCCTTTTTTATTGTTTTCCCTCTACATGTACCATACACGCTTGTTTTAGGTGCATATTATCTCCACTCGGACCATATCATTCTCTCGTGGTTCCATTTTGTTGTTTTCGGCGTAAGTACTTCTTTCTCGCTCATTTCTCCTTGTATCTCCTGGTGTACTCTCCCACTTCTCTCCTGTTAGTCATCTCACAGTCTTGTTTTCTTACGACTGTTGACCTCAGTGCGGCCCTTTTGGTCTCTGGTGGCTCTTTCTAAACGGCTCCTATTCTCTGTCTGACAAGTTTATCCCATTCGCTCATTTACTGGCCTTCGTTTCCAGCTGCTGGCTCTCGCTTTCCTGCCATGATGCTCGTGCTCTTTTTTTGTCCCTTTTTCGCTCCCTGTACCCCTTCCAGTGCAGTACTTCTCTCTTCCTGCGTCTTCTGCCTTCAGAGCTCTCCACTTCATTTTGACATTATTGGACCGGTGGTGGCATTTTGATGTCATTCGTGAAATTCCAACGCCCTTAGCCAAGCTGGATAATGGCCCTAGTTCTTTCTTTCCCTTTTTCTGGGTTGTTTTGTGCAGGGATTCACGGCCTCCTTTTGTGTGAAGTTTTTTAAATGACCAGTCTTTGTTTGGAAAAAAAAAGCAAAGAATTTGTAGTTTGATCGGGAGATGTTTTGTGTTCAGGGTATGTGGCCAGACCGACGAGGTTCTCTGTGGACACCGACGATAGCCATTCAGCTTGCCTGGTTATTGGGCTGTTTCCACATTTTTAGGAGCTGGTTGTGTGTCCAACCAATCAGCTCACAGGAGGCTTGATTCCACTGAGCACGGGCTGGAAAATGTACATGATGATGGAGTTCTTACTATTTTGGCTGTCGCTCGTTGGCCATATTTTTGCCTTGCTGTCCTTTGTGTCTGCTGCATCGCAAATGTTTTTGTGTCAAGTGGACCTCAGTGTCTGATCTTGGCAATGAATTGGGTTGCACAGATGGAACACGGCTTCACGTTGCATCCCTGCTTATTCCTACTCCCCTCTGCTTCTCACAGTTTTTGCTGTTGACGTCAATGCACTGCTCGTTGTCACTGGTGGTCTGACTGCCGGTCGTGCTGAGTACGGCCTCCTGCCCTTCTGCGGTCTTGGGGTGGTGCAGTGCCAAAAGTATGGTGGAGGACAAAAAAAAAAAGAAAAACTGATGTGTTATCTTTGCTGCATCCATTGTGTTTGCAGGGCGTGATCTTTGACCCTGCGGCTGGTTTGAAACTCAGGATCGAGTTGGCTAAAGCAAATTCAAAGCCAAAGCGGGCCCGCACAGGTGAATCACAGTCCACTTATGGCCGGTGTAATGGTGATGAAGGGTATGCATGCTGATGTGCTTTTGAAAACTGAAGGCTTCAAGGAAAGAATGACATCAAATTCACTTGGAACGAGAATCATGACGAACTCAAGATGATGAACACCCTTTTCTATGTAGTGTCGCAGGTCTATTACCGATGTTTATGAAGGAGAGGGCGCGGGGGGCAGGGGGAGACGGAGGTGGTATAGGGGGTAGTATAGTAAAGTGTAAAGTCTATTGCGGATGGTTATGCAGGAGAGGGGGTGGGGGCAGGGGGATACGGAGGTGGCAGAGGGGTACGGTAGCTTAACATGCTTAAGTGTACGAGTAGGGGGACATGTTTTCTCCTTTGCTCTGTTCTGTCTCATCTTGTCCTGTCCTGTCCTGTCCTGTCCTGTCCTGTCCTGTTCTCTCCGTGTGTATGGGTTGTAGACAGGTGCCACAACTGCTGCGAGTTCTCTCATACGGTTTGACGTTTTGTGTCCTAACATGTATATGCTGGTGTGCTTGTTGCCTCTCCATCTTGTTTCATTGCACGGTAATGACTGGCATTCGATTGCCAGTCCTCGTGCTTGGTGGCCCCTTGTGTGGCACTAACATCGATCTCATGCGGTTGGCATTTTGTGTCCTAACATGTATGTACTGGTGTGCTTGTTGACTCTCCATCTTGTTTCATTGCATGGTAATGACTGGCATTCGATCGCCAGTCTTTTGAAGCGGCATCTGAAATTGTGCGCTTGTGGCCAGGGGTTCTGTTATCTCGGAGATCGGCTAGGTGCATGACCAACTATTTAGCTGGTTTAGGTTCCAGTAGGCAGATCACCTGGATACTGACTGCTGATTTTGACCAACTATTTAGCTGGCTTAGGTTCCAATAGGCAGATTGCCTTCTGCCGTGCAAGAAGACTTCACCTCAAGGGATACTGACTGCCAAGGACCTGGAAGCGACCTTCCTATTGTGGTCCACGTGGGCAAGTGTTTTTGTGGGTGAACTATCCTGTGTCGTTGAAAGGCTTCTTGTTTTAACCGGGACTCGGAATTCCTTCCGTTCCTTAAACCACCACTACATTTGGAGAATTCGAATGAGCCTCTCCGAAAAGTCAGGGGACTTGGGACAGGGGCCTGCCTGGGGGTGGGCATAATTTTTGTTTCTGTTCAGGGCTGGGCCTAGTGGCACCCCATGGCATGGGCCAATTGGTTTTTCTACTAGTCCTTCGGCCGGCCTGTCCCGAGGCCCGAAATTTTAGGAGAGGCTCAATTGCGATTCTCAAGTTGGCCGGGGCCAGATACATTGTTTGGGAAAGTGCTCGTTTGCAGCACAAACCTGTTGTTGGCAAATAAACTGCCCTTTTTCCACTAGCGTGTACAGCTCCAGATATGAAGGACGTCTAAAGTGCATGCTTTCCTTTACTAGCCACAATAGATTCGCAGTAGCTCTCGCTTTTTCGACTTCAATTTTTTTCCTCCCCTGCCTGGGGTTTGTACAGTGTTTCTGCACGTTTTCAGCTTTTTATGCTTTTCATTTTTTCTAAACCATTCCGATTTGTGACATTTCTTGTGGAATCCCTTTCTCCATTTATATGCAGAACTGGTTGCCCGTGCAGGACCTCTGATGTCAACAATTCTTCCCTTACTCAAAATTGGCAGTCGATCTCTGCATTAGCTAGATCTATATCTAATTTCTGTACTGCACTAAGAGTCATTTTTGGCTTGCAACAATGAAGGCAAAGGCGTGGGCTCAAAGAAAATCTGGTTATGGAAACACTTTATATCGGAGATACCAATGACATGAGATACTATGCACTCCTCTCCTCCTTCCTTCCCTTGCTCCCTCTTCATCCTCCCCCCCCACCCCCCACCTACCCCCTCCACTTCCTCTCTATCTTTTGCCTCACCCTGTCATGCTCCTGGTCCCAGTTTCACTCTCTGTTTCTCCTTTCTTGCTTCACTGTCACACCTATGTGCTCGCTTGGTCTTTCCTCGTTCCCTCTCTTTTCCCTTGCTCTGTAATGCTCTTGGAGCCAGTTTTCTCCCTGTTTCTCCTTTGTTGTTGCTTACACTCTTTCATCGATGTGTTAGCTTAGTCCTTTTCCCCTCCCTCCACCAATAGACTTGCGATCTCTTGGACCAGTGTGTCATCATCGGTATCTTAAGATGACGGTATCTTAAGATGACTGGTCTGCATGTCAGACTAGCATTCCAGTGGAAATGTCTTGTTATCATTTTGTAAAATGCAAAATGAAAAAGGAATGCTTATTTCTCGTCCTTCCTTGCAAGTTGAAGAAGCAGAATCTATACCAAAAGTGCAACTAAAGACGAGAAGGAAAAGAAGGGAAAATCTGAGGTGTTTTGATTTTCAAAATCTGAAATATTTGCACATGCTCCATCGCGTTTGCACTCTTGATTGAGAGGGAATCACACTTGATTGTAAGCTTGCTGAAATACGGAACTCAACGTACACAGTTGGCTACTTTATACAAAAGAGAAATTGGCTGGCCGCAGGGGCGCTCAGCTGCCCTGAGCAGAAAGCATCAAACGGAACAGGAAGTGATGCACTGCCTGGGAATGGCTGCCTCCGCTCTCCAGCCCTAAAAATAGCGCTGTTTCTCTTTCTTTTTATCTTTCACACCAGGCAACTTCCAGAATGGATGGATATTTGTTACTACTGCCCAGCTCGTCGTTTTTGTCGAGCTGCCTCCCAACTTCAGGCCTTACCGAGCCTGCGCATTGGAAAAGTCTAGTACTAGTTAATGCCCTACTTTAAACTTAGTCAACAGAGATTTTAGACTGATGCGGAGTATTTTTCTTTTCTTTTTTAAGCCACTAGTCCGTGAGACCCTTCTGTGGACCTCCGAATGGATTTTATCATGAATGAATTTAGCTGGCCGCACGCAGGCCGGTACATCCATGAGAGGCCGCCGGTGGCACACCTTGCTTGTGGACTGGTGCTCCCAAGTGTCACAGAGTAATCTGTCGCGGATGCTATTACAGGTGAGCTCCACAAGAAGTCGATGAAAAGATCAAAATCAAATCGAGAGTCTTGGAAAGAGTCACACTGTGATCGGTTGTGAATGTAGTGCTTGGCCCATGCGGTTGGGTCAGTAGCATGCCTTGGCTGTGGCCATGTGCAATCCTCGCTTGGACACAGTTTGAGCTGTTCATAGTAATGCTGTCACAAATTTGTGCCCCGTTGGGCCATAGGTAAGCCTCTGCTTTTCCCAGAACTTGTCCTGGTTGTGAGTGCTGAAAGACTAGTTAGTCCAGATGAGGTAGGCACATGACTGGAAAGCCATGCACATGTCGTTGAGAATACAAAGTTAGTTGGTGCTCTGTTCTCTAACAATGAGATGGTCTTATGGGGCTATCCGGTGCCGCTGCCACCTGGTTACGTAGTCCTCATTTTTGAAAGGAAGTGCCTCTGCCATGCTCCTCTGCTGTAGCCTTCTGGGCGTCGGGCTGAATCCGAATCATTCTGAGTTTCCAATCATTCCTGAAGGTGTCCCCTCACTGTTTGTTTCCATTTGACTGAACCTGTCTCTCTCCCTGTGCTTCTTTACTTCTCTGCAGAGGA